TAAATAAACAAATATTAGATCACTACACTATTGCCTTGGGTTAATCCTGTAATAATATATGTATTGAGATGATAAATAAATAAATCTTACGTTCAACTCAGAATAGCAAAGTTTTGAAACTGTAATTGCTTTAAGATATGGTGAAGCAACAGTTAAAAGTGAGTGAAGAGACCAAAGAAAGAGCACTTGATTGGAGCTTTAACTCCTTTCTTTTCAGAACACGTATACGACGTGCACCAGAATATTATACTGAGTTCGTGCAACGAGCTAACGTTTTTTCGTAACGACGGCAATCTGCACATAAGCACTCCATCCGTGCCTCCCTGGGTCGCCGCATGCATTTGTTTTTCTCCTCTGCAGAGATTAACGAAACCACTATAGGCAATGTATTTTTTGTCCAGCCCATGCTGTCCCACTACTAGGCAGAAGTCTCCCCTAAGTTTTCCCAGTGGGTTTGTCCTGCACCACATCGAACCAGCCCCAACGGTATGCGTCCAGGTTCCGTGAATTATATCATATATATAGGACTTTATAGCGGCTGGGAAGTTAGTTGCGAGCGCAAGTCCTTTACCTTCACGCTTAGCTTTACGTACTGTAATCTGAGACACCATCAAGTTTCTTTTCAACTATATCTGCACGGACTAGTGCTCGCCATAAAGATTCGACAACACCTTTCTTTCGTGGTAATGGTCGGTTACCAGTTCAAGTCAGCATGAACGTGCAGTAGACTGACCTTTATCTTGATTTATTTAAAGTTTGTGGAGCATATGTTCTTTCATACATGGTTACTAGTCGTCATCTCTCTTTTTTTTTGTTAATAAAGATTATTTATTTATTTATCTCAGTAATCTAATCGAGTTGAGCAGCCCCTTTCTAACCATACCACCGTTCACACAATCCATTAATCATTTAACTATCCTAACGTATTCCTCAATCTTCAGCATCCCATGTTCATACCATATGACAACCAATTTCCATGCAACATTTCGATCAATAGGGGTGGCTGCGCCACTTCAGACTTCCACTTCCATACTCATTTCTCATTATATCCCATTTGTGCAATACCACAAAACGTCAATTTTATAGTGTTTACAACCTGCAAGTTGTAATGACTTCCACCAGTAGCGTAATTAGTGGTGGATACTGGAGGTAAACGAGAGAGTAAGGATTAAAAATAAATAAAATAACAATAATGTATACTGATTAAAACCATTTATTGATGATGAAATAATATTATTTAATCAGAAAATTTATTTTAGACACATGAGCCAAATCACCCTTAAGCCGAACTACATTCAGCGTTCTATTTATACATTCTTTTTCAAAATGCAAGGAGCATATTCTTCTTACAACTGCAGGTTTTATGTTTTTTTTTGGGCTATATTATCAATCCACAAATTTTGAAGGCCTTCATTTTTTGGAAACCTAAAATAAATATTATGCATCCTTAAGTATCAATCAAAAATAATCTAAACATCATCAAATCTTTTGATGAAAAAAACTATTATAGAAAATTTACGATTTACACTATTTTCAAGTTCTTTTCTTAAATGAAAGGCTCTCAATCGATCGTTTGATTAAATATACAGTTTACGTATCTAAAACGTTATTTGATCATAGGACTACATTAATATTATTGTTAAAATTTATATCTATAATTTCAAAACATGACAGCACGTAAGGGCAACACTATGTAAAAATGTAAACAATCAAAATGTTTACTTGTTATTTACACGATAATAGTCATTGGAAATTCTAGATAATATCGGGAAACACGATTTAGAACCCTTAACATGAACACGAAACGCAATTCACACGAAAAAATATACAATTATGGAAAAAAATTACAACTAACCTGAAAAATGACAATCCTTATTTTTTACGAGAATTTGAATTACATCCATTGATGCAACACTTTGTCATGTTGTTTTTGCTCAATTATCCTTTACTAATGAACAAAAAAGCTCAAAAATAGTCAAAATTCACTGTAACACTGCAAAATAACTCCGAACAAGGCTTAGATGACAGACGAATTACCACAAATGAACTTCATCCTAAAATGGCGTCATGCTTCAAGGTGGAGCTTAGTGAAATTATGAAAACTGTCAACAGAAAATTGAATCCGAGATATATACTTATCTTTTTTTACATTTGTAAATCATAACGTGTGAGAATGAGACAGATACATTTTTGTTGGCAAGGTTCATGTTTGCATGATATTGTATAACCAAAAAATATATATGCAATTTACTGCTTATCCTCTTTTTCTTATATATTATATAGAGCTTAGCCCATAGAGTAATATATTGGCTTACTACATATATATTTATCTATGTTGGCTTAGCCTTAGCCTAACAAATGAGAGTTTTGGCGGGAATTTGACCGGCGGCGGTTTGCTGCTCCTGTATTATTGTTTAAATAATGGTTTGAAGTGGACTTTGATATGTAAAAGTGGTGCGATTTTGTATATTAAGTGTCTGCGCATGTGAACTATTAGTGGAAACTGTGAGACAAGTGCTCTGATGGTGATATGATTCTCAAAATAAGGTGTCTGTCTGCTTAGGCGCCTTGAGATACCATCGCCAACCGTTAGCTGTCTGCTGGCTCAAGTTGCCGTCAAAATCTCCCAAGGGCTGCACAATGTGACGCATCAACATATTGTGACGCAGTATACTATGAAGAATATTATAATATATTGTAACTTCAGGCTCAGAAGGGCTAGATCCCAGAGCCGTAAAGCCAGTTATTAAGAAGAAGAAGAAGCCTAACAAATAAACAACGCGTAGTGTTTCTATCGTAGTCGCACATGCTTGTATTTTGCCACTGCTTTCTTCCAAGCTACATTCAAATGTAGAATTTACACTTTCTTCTAACTCATCGGTTAAAATTGTGGCATAAGCAGTGTGTGTCTGAGGGTAGAGACAATAAAGTTCTAAAATTTGTCAATATAACTTGATTTTGGTCTTCTTCACAATTTCCTGTCCCAATAAAAGATAAGTTGATAAGGACAGCCGTTTTAAGACCCGCAACAAACTGCCCAGCAGTGAGTGCCTTCTTGTTTCCAAACTTTTTATTGATTTATGTTTAGAACTGAGATTTCTCCAGATTCGTTCTATTCCATTGATGGACCATATCCAACCTTCTTGGGATGGAGAGGCTCGTTTGCATTCCAAAAACGTCATTTCTTTAAAAAATTTCTTCATTAAAGTGAAATGTGTGAGATATGGTGTATTATTTGTCATGTTTGTCGATAATGGTTTCCCCCTTCTTAGGTCAGGTGTGCAGCATGCGTTGACACAATCAAACAGCTTGTCCATATTTGCTGTCCATATTGGCTTAACACTTGTGCAGCTAGCTTCACATTCATCTTCTGCTTCGTATTTGGATTTAAATGTTCTTGTTTTAAGCAAGGTTCAAACATAAAATTGGGATTGGTGTTATCTGTTTCATAAAACTCCTTTATATGGCTCCATTTAGCAACACCTGTAAAAAAAATTGTGTAAATATCCAGTAAATTGGAAATATGTATAATATTATGATTGTAATAAAACAAAATATCTAATCTTATCAAATCAAATTTGATCATTTGATGTTATATTTGTTGGACATTTAATGTCATATATATTAGATGTTATATTTTTATATATTGAGGGAGTCTGTTGCTTTATTGTTTTTTTCAAAACATTAAAAATTTGGTCATTAATACCAACTTTCATATGAAACTTGCTTAATAACGCTTTTAATGAACTAGGTGTTGGCAGGCAAATCATCCTTCTTAATCATTTGTAACACCTAGGTGACCTTTTATACAGTCTTAGTGCTATTATTTTGGAGTCCATGTTCCATCTTCGACCTTTTGATTTTTTTTTATAGTTTTGCCATTCTCCTTGCAAAAATAATGCAAAAGAGGAGGATATTTTACATTTTAATATTTCATTTACGGAATCATTTTTGCTCAATACTTTGAGAAATGCTTCATTCTTTAGATGCTTTACAGTTTTTTGAAGCCTGTTAATTTTTTCAGATGATATTTCATTTTTATCAACATATCTTTATCCTTTTTGTTTTTCGTGGATGGATTTGCAGCAGGTAGTGCTAATTAATGACATGAAAATGTTGACTTATTAGTTTTTAATGCAGTCAATAACAATAACATAACGAAAATAATTTCTACAAATGTAATATTATTGGTGGCATCTATAATATAATCAGGTTATTGGAGTTTAGACATAATATTGCAAAGCTATTGCCTTGTTTGTAGAATGTGAAGGTAAATAATGTTTTCTTGTTAGAAAAAAGTGTTTATATTAGATTGTCTAATCTTTTTTATATAAAACCAATGTACCTTTACTTTCCATTTTGCTTAAATGTCATGTTACATATGCCATGTTAAAAATTAGTTAATTACTCCGTCACTTACGTCCATCAATGTACCAACGGTTTTTCTATGTACCAATGTAGACAAGTATGTAATGTAAATAAAAATTATGTATTTCAAAAACCACTTTTATTTGAAAAATAGTTCCTTTTTTATATTAAAATGATTGCTAATCGTTTCAAAAGTGGTTTATGAATGTAAAGTACCATAATTTACAAATAACTTTGTGCTTTTGTTTTCGTTTTAATTTAGCAATATATATCATTGAAACGAAAAACTACAAGCTATATCTATCTATATGGTATTTTACATTCTTAAGCCATTTTTGAAACGAAACAACCAAGACGACAACTAAAAAAAAATCACGTCAAAATTCCCGCGCAAAAAGTTTTAGGGGGCACGACAGAGATGGCGTGCATTATGGGTGCCATTTTCTTTGTTTGAAGTTGACATTCTTCCCGCCAAAGGGTATTAGTGTTCTGTGATCGTAGTGTTTCTATATAGTTTGTGGTTTCTATATAGTTTGTGCAAATAAACAAATATTTTGATTTTAAAATAGAGTACAAGTTTATTTCTACAAGGAATTTACTACTTCCTGAAAACTGTGTTTTCATTGTATAGCATGTCTAAAGTGCTAATCATCAGACATTTACCTGAAGGACTGTCTTTTAAAGACAAAGAACAACTTTTAATGCATTTTGGAGCTCAGAAAGTATGGGAAACTTCTAAAAAGCGTAATTATATATTTGCCTCTTTTTCTACCATTGAAAAAGCCAAGGAGTCCTTGACTAGGTTGCATCAATTAGAAATTGCACAAAGACGACTAATAGTCGAGTTTTCTTTTGAAAAGGAACCAGTTAGTCTAAACAGACACGATGAAAGCCAAAGTTCTGTTTCTACGAAACACGTTAAAGAATTTCTAAAACTCCTTAATGCTTGGAATCCATCTGTCAATTTTTATCAACCACCACCAGTTAAAATTAAATATAAATATCCTGACATAAATACAAACATTGCTATTAACATTATTCATAACTTATTTTTACATGAAGCACTTTATATACAAACCTTGCATTTGATGAATAGGATGTCACTTGAAACGCCATTTCAAGAAAACGAAAAATCGTTACTCTTCTTTAAGGAAACATTCAGACAATATTTTAATGATCTATCAATTGCTTTGCCTGTTCAAGCTCCAAGTGAACCTGAGTCAGAAATATCAAGTGATGAAAATGAATGCCTTAAGCCGGCAGTGACTAGCATGCCAAAAAGAAGAAAGCATATTTTGCCGGTGACTCGAAAGCGACCAGCTGCTGTTTTGTCTACAGCCACGATTCCAAAGTCAAAGAAATTATCTATTAATCAAGAAGAAGTATTTGAAACAGTATATCCAGCCCCAGAACCTAAGAAAATATCATTAGTTGTTCATCAGGATGCCTTAAAAAAGACATCGGAACAAGTTGAAGTTGTAGGTGAACTTGGAAAGTTTGAAAAGGAAGTTCGGACAGTTGTGGAAGAAGAATCTCAACCAGAACCAGAACAACCAACAATTAGTAAAAAAGAACTGTTACAAAAAAGAATTTCCTATAGTGATATGAAAATTCTTCCAGTATTTAAAAATTATCATCCCGGACCACCATCAATGCGATTGTATATTAAGAATTTGGCTAAGACAGTTACAGAACAGGATTTAAAAAGGATTTATAGACGTTATATAGAAAATATTCCAGAAGAAGAACAAATTTGTTTTGATGTCAGAGTGATGCAAGAAGGCAGGATGAAGGGTCAAGCTTTTGTAACATTCCCTTCAGTGAGATTAGCCGAGACTGCACTGAATGAGACCAATGGGTTTATGTTAAAAGAGAAACCAATGGTTGTGCAGTTTGCAAGAGCTGCAAATAAAAAGACTATTGATTAAATAGTGACATAATTTTTTAAATATCCCCCCCCCCCTCCCCCCACCGTTATTTCATTTCCTTTTAATCCAGTGTAGTGGCTGTGTAAGAATATATCACCACTACCCCATATCATCCTGTGGGTATCGTAAGAGGCGCCAGAGGGAAACACATCAAGAGATGGGCGGCAGCATCTTCCTAATAATGACTAAAAATACAAACTGTAGTTGCCAACCCGCTTGCCAAGCATGGCAACTATGGAAATATTCCCATTGAGGCAATCTATGGGGGAAGCCTATGTTCAGCAGTGGACTTTAATAGGCTGTAACAGTAAATAATCTCTTTCTTCTTCTTTCTTAGTTTTATGGCCCCTCTTTTTAGAATTCTGCCAATGTCAAGTCAGTCATGGGAGTGACAAGAGAGTGTTTACAATAGTTACAAGTTATTATTGTTTGTGTAGGTCTTCACAATCTACAACAAAAGACGCCACAAGTTTATAACCATCACCATGTTAGTAATCTTACAACTTAATTTTATTAGTTCTAATATAATCACACAAAATATTTACAAAGGAAGTAAACACAAGGGACAGTAAGTATGAGAAATTAGTAGGACGAGGGATGTAGTTAGGGAGTATATCATAAAAGGAGAAGGAGACCTTGGGGCACTCAAAAAACAGGTGGTTAACTGTTCCTTCGCCTAACCCACATTCACAGATTGACGTATCCCTAATCCTTAATTTAGCTAGGTGTACAGGTGTGCAGGTGTGACCGAATCGGAGACGGCAAACAGTTGAGGTAATCACTTTACTAAAGTGACTGGTTTTAAAGAACCAAGGTTTTAGGGGGATATTATTTTGGACATTAGCATAATTTTTACATTTACCACGAGAAGTGTAAACTTAAGTTAGCCTTCGACAGCAGGTCATATGAGTAAATATTGTGTTTGGGTAGTAATCCAGATTTAGCTGCTTCCTTAGCTATCTGATCAGCAACCTCGTTGCCCTGAATCCCACAGTGAGCAGGTATCCACGCCAAGACAATCCTTAGTCCCTTTTTATGACATTTGAATAGAGACTCTTTGATATTTAAAATTAATGGGTATTTTACTTTTAATTGAAATAGGCTGGAAGCAATACTTTGTAAGCAGCTAAGGGAATCTGATAATATGAGAGTTTTTTTCAGACTGTGAGATTCAGCATACAAAACTGCCTCTAATATAGCCAATGACTCACCTGTGAATACAGAAGAGTCAGAAGGGGAATTAAAATTTAAAATAATTTTATATTTAGGTATCCACACTGCGGATCCTACTAAACCTTTTTCGCTGACCTTTGAGGCATCTGTGAACATAATCACCCAGTCAACCCACTTTTCAGCTAGAATCATGTTTAATTTAATATTTGGTTCAGTGCTGTCCTTATAAATGCCAATATTTAAAAATATGTCTGGCTTATATATTAGGGCCTCATAGGGAATATTGTAGAGAGGGTTCCTAAGTGACTTGAAGATTGGAGAAGGAAGATTGACAAGTTTGGAATAGCTTTTTATAATGCATGGCAAATCCTTATGTGACCAATATTGGGATCGCTTGACTAACTGGTTAAGGGAATGTAGTTTGGATAGGAGAGGATGGTGCGAATAACAGGCAGCTTTAAATAAAAATCTGTCTGATAAATACTGTCTTCGGAGAAAAAGAGGAGGCTCGACACATTCCACTTGGAGAGCGAGGATAGGAGTAGATTTCATTGCTCCTGTTATGATTCTGAGACATTTTGACTGGATTTTGTCCAGTATGTTAAGTGCCATTTTACTACATGGCTCCAGTAAAAAACAACCATAGTCGAAATGGCTTCTTATTAATGCATTATATAAAAGCTTTTGAGAATAAGGATGGGAGCCCCACCAGGAGCCTGATAGAGATCGGATGACATTTAAATTTTTTTCACATTTAGCAGCTACATAGGATAAATGTGGGATACCTGTCATTTTACTGTCTAGAAATACTCCTAAAAATTTCACTTGAGTCTGAGAAGGTATAAGAGAGTCATCAATATGGATAGGCACATCTGGGAAAAACCTTCGTCTAGTAAATACTACTGAGTTACTCTTACTAGCTGAAATGGACAAACCATGTTCTATAAGCAAAAGTTGAGGAATTTAACTGCTTGGGATAGACGGGAGATTGCTTGGTCAAAGGAAATGTCGGATGCATATAAGACTAAGTCATCAGCATACTGTAGGACATTAGCTAAGTAGTTTACAGATCTATCAAGTTCATATGTATAAAGGCTGTATAACAAGGGGCTCAGAACTGAGCCTTGAGGTAATCCCTTCCTGACAGGTCTAGGTGAGGTGAGCTTGCCTTCAGAGCGAACTAATATGCGCCTCTGCGAAAGAAGGTTTGACACGAAATTTGTGATTCTCTCCGGGATGTTCAGCTGTTGCATTTTCTGCCTGAGCAGCGGAAAAATAACATCATCGTAGACCGAACGAACATCCACAAAGACGCCTACAAGATACTCATTGTTGGAAAAAGCAAGTCTTATGTCTGATACTAAGATACTGAGGCCATCCATTGTGCTAAAACCTTTTCTAAAACCAAATTGAGTCCTTGACAGAATGCCCTTATTTTCTAATATCCACTCCAGTCGATTCTTTACGAGATGTTCCATGACTTTAGATAAGGTTGATGAGATAGCAATAGGGCGGTAATTTAATGCTGAAGATGGGTCTTTTCCAGGCTTTAAAATGGGTATAATAATATGGGTTTTCCAGTCATCTGGGATAGGACCTGTCGTAAAAACCTGATTAATGATGTTAAGAAAGATCTGTTGACATGAAGAGCCCATATTAACCATAAATGAATAGGGAATACCGTCAATGCCAGGTGAGGAGTCCTTGAGGTGGCTGAGCACTAACTTTAATTCTTCTAAAGAGAATGGTTCATTAAGGTTATTTGGGATGCTGGGAGAGTGGGAGGGGAAACGTTTTGCAGTTGGAAATATCTCTTCCTCCATAGGAACCCATGGAGGAGCCAGTCTGCAACAGAAGTCGTTTAGCCATTCTGAAGGATCTGCACAGGAGGAATTATTGACATTGAAAGCTCCGCGAAAACGTCTGATATTTTTCCAAACTAAGGAAGAAGGAGATCGAGGGGATAGACTCTCACAAAATGAAAGCCATCCCTTTTTTTTCTTTTCCGAAAGAAGTTTTTTGGATCCAGCGGCAATTTTTTGGTAACTTAAGAAATTTTCCATTGACATATTTGAGGAATATAACCTTTCCGCTGCCTTGCGTTTTCTGATGATCGAGGAGCATTCAGAATCACACCATGGAGGTGAACATAGTTTCTTCGGGGATGTGTTTTTCAATGGAAAAATTTTGCAGGCTGAAGTATTTAATATTGCTATGAACTGATGATATACAGAATGTAGGTTTTGGGATGTAACAGTAGGAAAGTTCTGAATACTACATTCTGATTCTGTGGCAAATCCTTCCCAGTTGGCATCCGATAAACTGAATTTTAAAAGAGGAGCTGTATTTCTGGGAGGAGTACATCTATTGGACAGGTTTAACAGGATGGGATAATGGTCACTTCCAAAACAAGAAGGTAGTGTTTGAAATGACATACTGGCAGCCAGGGATGGAGAGCATAATGATAGATCAACTACAGATCTAGGATTATGGGATCTCTTTTTTTTAAAGTGGTTAGACTAACTAGTCACCATTTTTCATTATCACTATAATACTTATAGATGTACATTTATTCACTCATTACATAGGTCTCCTTCATACATAGATAAATATGTAGCAAGCTTTGTCTCATTAGGGTCCGGGTGCTATTTGCCATGGTTACCATGCATGGTAGCTACCAACCACAATTTTTTTTATTCTTGAGTTATTATAGTAAGATGCTGCTGCCCATCTTCTATTTCAGTTTGCCTCTTTTTCGTACGACTTGTGGGATATTGAATTCTCTTACCTAATGATTTCTTATATTTACATAAAGACTACACATTAGATGAAATTAATTTTTACGGATTTTATCGCGTTTAACTTTTTAAGTTTCAACGTTTCGGGTGTTTTACTGACTGAGGTTTTTTTTATTTTATATGATGGACAAACGAGCATGCGGCTCACCTGATGGTAAGTGACTACCGCCGCCCATGAACAACTGCAACACCAGGGAGGGAATTGCAGATGCGTTGCCGGCCTTTTAAAAAGGAGTACGCTCTTTTCTTGAAGGTCCCTAAGTCGTATCGGTCCGGAAAAATCGCTGATGGTAATCGATTCCACAAGGAAGTCGTGCGAGGAAGAAAACATCTTCTAAATCGCACAGTGGTGGACCAACAATCATCCAGATGGTGTGGATGGTATCGGGAGTTCTGCCGCGATGTGCGTTCGTGAAATTTGGCGGCTGGGATTAATCCGAACAATTCCTCAGAGCACTCCCCATGGTAGATGCGAAAGAAAATGCAAAGGGATGCAACATCTCTTCGCAGTGCCAATGAATCGAGCCGATCGGAAAGGGCTCGGTCGTCGACGATTCGAGCCGCTCTGCGTTGGATGCGGTTAAGTGGAAGGAGCTAGCACTGGGGAGCCCCAGCCCAGAGATGGGAACAGTATTCCATGTGAGGCCGAACCTGCGCCTTGTAAAGTTGCAGGCGGTGTGCCGGCATGAAATACTGTCCCGCTCTGCTGAGCACGCCAAGCTTTTTAGAGGCCAATTTGGCCTTCTCTTCCAAGTGACCACGAAACTGCACGTCACTCGATATGTCGACTCCGAGGATACCGATACTGGCTGAGGCAAGAAGGGGAGTACCTTGAAACTGAGGAGATACGACAAAGGGGTTCTTTTTAGCGGTAAACGCGCAAACTTATGTCTTCTGGGGATTGAACTGGACTAGATTTAGTCGCCCCCAATCCGAGACTGTTCAGCAAAGACTCGACTTCAGACACAAGTTTGTTCCGGTACTCGGCGACGTGAGGTGTTAAATTAAACGCAATACAATCAGTAAAAATTAGTTTCATTCTCTTACCTAGTCACATACATTGTAGTTAAAAACCCACAGTCCATAATAAATAGTTATGCATCATGATTGAGGCTTAGATCTTGAGCAATAAGCTTCAATACATCGCTGACGCTATCATGAGCTTGACTGACACTCATTATCTATTATTAACTCTCACAGAGAGTAGTATGTTCCTTGCTCATTATTAGCTGCCTATGTCCATTGCTTATAAGAAAAGATAGTGTTTAATGAGTACTATAATTCAGATATTCTTAAAGTGGGTACAAACAGTTAGGTACAAATATTATTTTGGAATAGTCAAAAATATATGATGAGAATACCCATTACTGTTATGGCTCGTATGTTTGTCACATAGGTAGTGAACATTTGGCAGTAATTTTACTTTTAAAATATTTCACTGGGATAGATTTAGATAAAAGTTTTGCTTTTTACACATTTTAAATAAAAGTATATGTTCTTATTTCAATGTGGGCTTCCATAAAATAAAAGAGATTTTGTGAGTGTTTCTTTACATTTAGGGACCCCCGATATAATCTAAGAGTTTGTGTGCATGCACAAGTGCACTCTTATAGAGAGTGCACTGGTGCCCATCGGCAATAGGGCGGCCATCGGTCATGACCGAAGAGAGGTCAGGCGAATGACCAATAGCTTTATGTGCTTCAGAAAACACTACACAAACTGCTCCTGAGAATTTGGCAGAAAAACCAAAAACTGATTTTTGACCCGAGCTGATATTCGAACCAGTCTATTTGAAAAGCTGTAAAAAGTATTGAGACACATATGATTATTATGTAGGTACCAAAACAACATAGATAGTAATACTGAAATCAAGTCATGTGGTTGTCAAGAACTGTGATAATAAAAGGTAATTGAGAAAAGAAGGCACTTTTTGTGAAAACTATATTTCCATCAACTCAATAGTATATGACAATAACTCATCAACATTATTTTCCATCTGTTTGCCAGAGACAACCTGATGTAACTGAGGTAAAATACTATCAACTAACATTAATTGATCAACAAGATTTTCAACAATCTTTTGCATTGTATCCAAAACATATTTAACCTTTACATCTGTAGTCATCACATATTGTTGATAAAAAGCATCCATAAGTAAGGTGCACCAGTCAAACAATTTGCTTTCGTAATCCATTTCAATTTTCCTATCTGAGTCAACAAGTAAATATGAAATATAGCTCATGAGGAACAAAGCTTCATCAAGACTCAAACCATTCCTCAAATAGGGTATTAAAATTGCATCACTAACAGGAATTTGAAGCAGATAATTAAGAAATTCTAATTTAGCCTTTTGACCAGTTCTTTTTTCTTTTGAGTCTATATTACTTGAACATGTGTTGATAAGCTCTTCATTATTGGTTATATCAATTTTATTTGGATTAACTAATTTAACAGCGTAGGAGAGCAACAGAACTAAAACTGATTCTGGAATATCTTTAAAATCTTTTAATATTTTTAAAATATGCCTGAAGTCATCTTTTTCTAGCAAAGGTGGTATGACTTGAGCACAAATATTTCTTTCAGTTAAGCCTAGACTAAGAAGGTCTTTTATCTCTTCACTAAATTTAAATATGGGTTTTGTCGGAGTATCCCAATCAGCAATTTCTGTGCATACATCTTTAGTTATTTCATGTGAGCCAAGCAGACTGGATAAGTTTCTTTTAATTTCTAAAACATAAGGTAACATTCCTATATGATTTGAAGCTTCCAATATAATGCGGTTATCGAAACAGTATAATTTTGCACCTTCTGTATACATTTTCATTGGATACTTGCAGGAACCAACACCAAGTACTATATTGTAAGCAACAATTATAGCTCCATCCTGTTCTATATTGCTACCAAAAAGTATTAAATGGTTTTTTCCCATCCAAGCAATAGAAACACTGTAATGAGTGGATATCCACGGAACTGATCCAATTGTTCGCCAACTCCTTTTATCCAATTCATAAACTGTTAATTTCCCATCACTCCCTGAAATTAGTAACAATTGTACTATTATTATTTCATAAATGGTAATATCAAAATCATCATAGCATACACATATTTTGTATAATTACATATTACATAATATATAATATAAAAGTGGGTGTAAGACTTACATAAAATATAAACACCAAGTTTTTCAGTAGTGCTAATAAGGTGGCCAACTATATGCACATCTTCAGGTCTCAATATTTTAACCTTATGTACTTTTGATTTTTCCAAATCTCCCAACTCTTCTCTCAATGGACATGTAAATATTTCATAGTTACTGTTATTTTTAAGAATATAACAAATGTTTGATGTATTATTCAAGTTATAGTATGCTGCATCAATGATGATATCTATTTCTTTGACCAGTGATTTACTTTCAAAACCCTTTCTATTGTCCATGGCATAAGACAGGGAAGCACAGTTGCCATTTGAAAATATAACTAATGGTGACTGATCTCCTCTTGTTAAAAGTTTTAAAATATTTATTGGAAACTGAAACAAAAAAAATGAATAATTTTCTACTACTACAAAAAGTTTTTTTTTATAGGATAGGATTACAAACGAGCACACAGTCCACCTGATGGTAAGTGGTTACTGTGGCCCATAGACATCTACATCTATCCTTGATTACGAATCAAAATGCAGATGCGTTGTCACCCATGAGAACTAAGATGGAATGCCTCTTTTCCAGTAAAATGGGTCTCCAGTTCTCTACACTCACCATACAAAACATAGCAGTGTCAAGCTGCCATTTTACGCTGGTATTCTATGAGAGCGTGGTCCTTCCCCTGTCGAACCGACCCATTCGTGCTACAGCTATACTACTAATAGAGCTGCGGCATGGCACTACCATGTATAGAACAATTTTGCTACATATTATATAGCTTCGTTGTTATATACCACATATTATAACAATGAAGCAAACTTGATCAGTATTACTGTTTATTTCGTGGGTTTTGAATTTTTTTCATTTTAGTTATAGTATTAAAGTAAATATAGCAAAAGTTTACTGTTACACATACTTTATGTTTCTTAATTTTGTCTAAGTTGTCACATTCCTCATTCCAACTTTTAATTGCATTGTTATTGAAAATCCCAACATAAGCATCTTGCTCTTTATCATAAATAACCGTAGATGTTATGTAGTCTTTTGAAGTCCACCCAACAATTAGCTTTTGATCTGAAAGCTAAAAACAACCTAAAATTAACTATCACACGACAATATTATTAATGAAATTGAAGAAATTTATATCACATTATTAGTGTTTATGAATTTAATTGATCAAATAAAATTTTATGAAAAATATGTATAAAAGGTAACTTCTAAGTTTTAAGAAAATAAAGTACCCTATATTTATGTACAACATTACGGCCAAGAGTTACTATAACATTTGTAGTTTCCTTATCCTGTGATACACCTAAGAAACTTTTTTGATCAATAAGGGGACATAATACATAATAATTATGAAGCTTAGCCATTATTTTACAAATAAAACTATCTTATTGAGCATTCAGCAATGCCTTTTCTTTTAAAATTAGATTTTTGACAGTGACAGGTTTATTATTTTAAATAAGATATGGATACGGCTTGGATGCTTGGCCTTTAAGCCATGTCTTAATTTTTTGCAGTATGATGTGATAATAATCATAGTATGTACACAATATGTTGATGCATCACATTATGCAGTTTTTGGAAGATTTTGACGGAAACTTGAACCAGTAGATACACACATAGACAGTTGGCGACAGTATTTCAAGGTGCCTAAGCAGACAGACACCTTGTTTTGAGATTTACATTACCATTGGAGCACTTCTTTCACCGTTTCCACTAATAGTTCACACGCGCAGACATTTAATAAACAAAATTGCACTACTTTTACAAATCTAAATCCATTTCAAACGTATATTTAAACAATTATACAGAAGCCGCCGCCGTTCAAGTTCCCGCCAAAACTCCCACTGTGTTTTTTTTTCTCAGACATTACAGACAACTGGGGCTTATAGAGAATATATTATATTATTCTCGTCAGAGATTAGTGCATTATTCCATGCATTAGTGGATTCTTTTTTATTTTACTTTTTTTATTTCAATTAAAGTCAAAGGGATCAGCCCATACAGCTTACTTTTACTCTTACGTGTATATTTTTTTTATTATTAGAAGTCAGTTCTGGACTACTATCCAACCAGATGGAAAGTATTGATGCAGCTAGAGATAGTCAAGCGCGCTGCCTTAGTTTAACAAAAGCCTATTCGCTGTTGCCTTGAAGACACCCACATTATAAATGGACGGAAATAAAAAAAGCAAGCAATTTGGTTTGAATGAGTGGTATATCGACCACAAAGAGGTGGTAACCAGCCGAGCGTCTGGTGGTCTGACAAAGAAATGGGCAAGGAAGAATCACACACTCTTCGTAATATATGCTGGCTACTTTGCACCTGGACTCATAAGAACTAATAAGGATTGTTCACTGAACGTCAATAACGGTTTTACGCGTTTTTCGTGTCATATTAATTACTTTAAGTTTTATTGTAATATTCTGATTACATTCCTAATTTATTCTAGTATTTATTAGTAAAATTTATCTGCATTTTCATATATGACTCATTAAGCGACAATATCTTAGTATTACAAAATAGTCTAACATAGGGTTAGACTCGTAGTCGCCATGTCTAATCCATCTAATCCGCCTAAGGCACCGGATCGGAATTGCTCTGATTCTAACATTATTTCCTCTTCAGCAGCTTATATTTTCAAATTCAAAATTAATTAGAAGGTTCATTTAAAAACCATGGCAGTTATTATCTCAAGAAATTTTTGATGACAACTTCAAATTGAATAAAACTACTTTTACGAATTCGATTGCGTTTCATTAATGGCAATAGAATCCGTAAAAGAAGTTTTGTTCAATGTGTAGTGTTCGCGTAAATATAAGAAATCATTATGACAACTTCAAATTTATTATTATTTTTACGTGGTAGAGCCATGCTGCAGTTATATTAGTAGCATAGTTGTAGCACGAATAGGTCGGCTCGACCGGGGAAGGACCACGCTCTCACAGAATACCAGCGTAAAATAGCAGCTTAACGTTGCTGTGTTTCGCATGGCGATTGTAGAGAACCGGAGATCCTTTTCACTGGAAATGAGGCATTCCATCTTAGTCCTCACGGGTGACAACGCATCTGCATTTTGATTTGTAATAGAGGATAGATGTAGATATTTATGGGCCGCAGCAACTACTTACCATAAAGTGAAACATTTTTAAAAATGTTTCACTTTATCCTGATTAAATCACATTTTGAAAAATTTTATTGTTCAAAATATAGTTAATGGAGGCCTAAAACGTATCGGGTGAAATAGAATAACGACTGAATTCACTAAATTTATTGATTCAAATGTATTTTTAGAAAATCCATCTGTAAATGATAAATATAAAACGTTTACTGCATCCTTCCACGTATGGGAGTTATAAAAAGTGTACAAGAAGATTGGACACCAGAAGATATTATTTCTGATTTAACTTCGTATCCAAACACCATAACTGTATTAAAAGTAAGAAGATTAAATTATCGAGTACTAATGAAGACAAAATCAGATATGAAAGCCTGAATGTGTCGTAATCACATTTAACGGTCAATTTCTTCCCTCGAACGTATATTTTTGCAATTCTTCTATCCCTTCGAACGATTCAATGTTTTCAGTGCTGCAGATTTGGATTTATGTCGTTCCAAGTCAAGGTGCTCAAAATATGGCGGTGATCACTCTTCTTCTACACTTCTTTTTCTTGCGACAAGGATAGTGGGATATTTCATTGCTTATTCTGCTCAGGTAACCTCAAAGCCACGGATTCTAGATGTCTTGAATACACAAGACAAAATAATATTAAAATCGAAATGGCACAAAGGACAATGCCAGATCGTGCCCCACCTTGTACAAATCATTATTTTGTACAACTTGCGGAAAATTATATTTCCAAAAAACCTGGCCAAGTGCAAGTCAGACTCGCGCATGAAGGGTTCCGTACCATTGTAAAACACGTTTCTAGTAGGGAAGCCCCCTTTAATTTTAATTTTTATTATTTGTTTTTATACTCGTAGCGACAATAGAAATATACATTCTGTAAAATTTTCAACTGTCTACTTATTACGGATCATGAGATACAGCCCGTTGACAGACAGATGGACGAACGGACGGACGTACAGCGGAGGCTTAGTAATAAGCATGTCTGGCAGGTTGCGCTAATAAGTGTTCAAAGTCATTCAAATAAGTGTTCAAATGTTTTTGCTATATCTGGCACCGGCTTTACATAGTTACATTACTAAGAGAATAATATTACTTAATGTTGTTTTTACGAGTGAACTTAGCGCAAGTGTGGCAGGCTACGCAAACATTTGAACACTTTGAACGCTTTGATGTGCGCTAAAAAACCGAAACCGCTTGGCAAAGTGCATTTCTTTGCGCACTTATTTTAACATTGCTTCAAAGTGCCGTGCCATACATAGCTTCAAACAAGTGTTCAAATGTTAAAATCTGTAACTGGCGCCGGCTTAATGAATATGCTAGCAAGCTTGCTAAACTAGCTATAGTCTGTGGGGATATTTTTTCATTTAAAAAATTATTTCTATCACCTTATAATGACCACGAAATTTTTGTATAGAGATAGGTGGACAAAATATTCAAACAAAACCAAAATGAGAAAAGGCTCACACTATGTCAAAATTCAAAACATCATTCCTTCTTTTAAAAGTTTTATAAATCAACTTTTAATAAGAAACATACAACAAAGTTATGCAGAATGCGCTTGGGTCACTTTTGTAATTCGGTTCACCTTGCTAGGCTTCATATTAAAAAATCTTCAATATGTGAGTGTGGTTTAGATATTAGTGCATTCAACCATATTATATTTAGCAGTAAATAGTCTTTTATTAATATTTTAAATTAATATTTTAAATGTGGTAATGAGTTTAGTTTTATTTTAATTATATTTAATTAACTTAAGTACAATTCACTTAATGCTTCATTAGTTCTTAATGTTATGTTTTCGGTTTTTAGGCCCGCCACATACATGCGGAATTCCGTTTCGGAATCCCGAATCGGAATTTCGTGAATACATCACACACATACGTTTTGTTTTCGTTCGGAATAACAAGGGTCAGTTGAGAGACGTTAGCCATTGAGTCTAGACATTCTGCCAGCAAATAATGACGACGATTTTCTAATTGCGATTCAATTGTTGCTGTATCATTCTTACTAGGCGCATCCCCTTATCACCCTAAGCTTGCAATATAGTCAATATTATGTAAAAAGATATATTATCTATCCAGAAATATTTTTTTAATATTTATGTCTGTAAATTCTTTCGACGAATTATTAAATAAAATAAGATGAAAGGTTACAAAAAGCTATACACCTACAAGAGTAAATGTAAAAACATACGTTTACGTGGTAGAACCATGCTGCAGCTATATAGCACGAATGAGTCGACTCGACCGCGAAAGGACCACGCTCTCACATAATACCAGCGTAAAATAGCAGCTTAACACTGCTGTATTTCGGATGGTAAGTGTAGAGAACCGGAGACCCTTTTTACTGGAAACGAGGCATTCCATCTTAGACAACGCATCTGCATTTTGATTTGTAATCGAGGATAGATGTAGACGACTATGGGCCGCAGCAACCACTTATCATCAGGTGGACTGTGTGCTCGTTTGTCACCCTTATCTTAGAAAAAAAAACATACATAAACACACCTACTTGCTTCGGTCGTGCGACGACACAGAATACTTTTACTCCTAGCGGAAACGACGAACACTGAGCGCGTTGACTGGAGGTTGGCAGTAATTGTTAAGTCGCGTCTCCACCAAAGTTTTGTTGCCAACTCAACAGTTGGAACTCGCGGCTTTAGGTTTTTTTATAAAACTGAAATATCCAACGAACTTATAGTTCACATGACGATGGTAAGTGGTTATTGCAGCCCATGGAAACTCGCAGCTAACTTCAAACAAAAAAGGTCGCTGCCACCTCTACGGACTAAGATGGAATGTCTTACAGCCTGTATTTATACCGGTAATAGGTAAGAGGGTGATTGCGTCGTACACCCCTCCACACCACGTACACACCGTACACCCACGTCCTTGGGCGGTTCTCACCGCCCAGGACACCGAACGAAACTAGTCAGCTGTCAGAGCCGGGGCCCGCCATCCTTGTTCCGACGGCGGTTAGATAACTCAACAATGTGAAGACCTGTTCACAAGGACACAAGATTATTTTTTTTTTTACATTCGTAGCTACGCAATAAAATAAATAATCTTTACCCACTTTTTAGCTCGCGGCCTTTCAGGCTATAAGAAGAAGCCAATTTGTTTCTATTGGCATGCTTATGCACAAGAGGAGATATAACTAGGAGAAGTCCTGTGCTTTAATGGGTATTTCCTGTTTTATGCCAATAAACTGTGTTAAATGTAGGTCGGGGATATCTTT